GTTTGAACAAAGAAGTCACATGACCGGAACTGTTGTGAAACTTAGAAGAGGTATCTAGGCACCCCGGTATCCATCTTAATTGAACAAAACAACCCTACTCTAAACCAACACCCCATTTAAGCCGTCTCCAGCCATTATTTTTCCAGTATAGTCCTTGTTCTATTAACCCTCTGGATAGGAATAGGTAAAAGTGCACATGTCAACACTTTTTTTAGTGTTGCATTCAAAATTTAATTAAATAATTCTTATAAATTTACACCAATGAACTTGGGATATTAGAGTATTTCTTAATTCAGATTTTTAGCTCTGTGCAAGTTTTAATTTGTTAATTCAAAATAAAGTATTAAAAAACAATGTTTAATACTCATTAAGCATACACCATTATTATTATGTAGATTATAATCGAATGGAATGTACAGGTTTATATCTTAGTTGTTACTATGTCATGTAATTATATAGCACCAATATTTTTTTGTCATTTCATTTTACTGAAATATAAGCCACAAAGTCCATCCTTTCCTGCCATGCCCTACTCATTTTAACCACTTGTGAAGTTTCTGACCCAAAAATTCTTGAAAAATATTTAACCAATTATTTTATTTTAGAACAAAAAATTACAATTGAGTATAAAATTGTAATTAAAAATGTAGAGAAAAATATGTATCAAATTTAATTTTTCTTTGGATTATTTTAGAAATAAACTGTTTTTTTGTCATTTCTTCAAAATTGACCTTAAAAGTCAGTGAAAAACATTAACCAATCACATTGTTTTCTTGGAGCTAAGACAATAATATATGATTTTAAAAATAAGAATCCAGAAACAATTATTTATGCTAAAGTTTGTAGAATTATTTCAAAAATATTAGCCATTTTTACCCTCTTTTTTTATTTTCCATTTTTTACCCTAAAAAACATATTTAGTATGCAGATCCCAGGGAAGTTTTTGATCTGCTGTAAGTACTGCTTATCACAACTTAATGCAACAGAAACTATTTCTGTTGTAATTTCTTTTGGGTCTCGCAATATATTGACTGGACTAATTAATAGGAACTAATTTCAGGTAATATATATTTGTCAAAGCAACAGATGAAATTAGTTTGAAATGAGTTCTTGAAGATTTATTGCTTGTAATGTTCTAATTATTTAAATGTATAAGTGTTAAATTTCTTCTATTCAAAGTTGCTTTTATTATCACCGAAAAATTATTAATATCAGAAATAATAACCTTAGAATTAATATATCAAGACAATTTTCTGAATAGTGTACTAAATGTTACTAATTTCAATCTAGTGAAGCTTGATAAAGTTATAAAAATATCCTTATCACTAAAAATATAAAATAGTGCTTTCAGATGAAATTACATATAAAGATATCTCTTAAACATAATTGTACAGAGAAATATAGAAAGAAAAGAAATAGTGTATACCTATACTACTTAATTTGCAGTAACAGACTTGAAATGATCTAAATTTCTGCAATTAATTAAAAAGCATATAATTAGCTTTATTTATTTCATACTAGCATTTTAATTAACTTTATTTTCTTATTTATTGTCATTGGTAGATTTGTATTGGTTCATTATTGATTAAAACAGCTCAAGAAGAATATAATTTATATTTACTGATCAGGCTACAAGAACATTTATAACATATTGTTTTGGTTTAAATTTTATAGTACAGCCTTTAGGTTGGCCATTAAATTTAATTGGTATTTTAAGTGTGTAATATTCACTTTTTCATCAATAAATCTGTCTATAGGTATGTGTATGTTGAGCTTTTTCGGCAACTTGGCTGGCAACGAGTGGCTGCATTGACTGAGGATGGACAAAAGTATCCTGAATATCTGTCTCTTCTCCAAGACTTAATGCAAGCCAGTGGCATGGACTTCATCACTAATCGCAAATTTCCACGAGAGCGGGCCTCTCTCAATATGACACAATATCTTGCAGGGCTGAAAAGTAAAAATGCTAGAATCATTATTGGAGATTTCTATGACTATGCAGCAAGAGCCATCATGTGCGAAGCTTATAAACAGGTAGAAAACATTTTAATGGTAGTGATTAATGTTATGAGACTAGTTTCTGTAAACAGGTTAGAAATATGTTAATGATAGCATTTATTAGAAGTGGGCAATTAATCAGTATGAATGATTATCTATGTGCAGTGATTACATTGACTAGTGTTTCATGAGCTAATCAGTTAATTGAAATTATGATTAAATCAATTAGTCACAAAAATAATCAACTAATCCAAAGTAGTGTTTCTGGTTATTATTGTTTTTGATCATTCCAACTTCCCAAGTAATCTAAATTTTGCCATCGCAAGCAGATGCTCATTGAAACAATTCAATGTTAAATTTTCTGAAAATAGTGATGAACAGATATAAAATATGCAGTCAACTCAATGCCTTGGATCACAGCATATATGCAATATGATTGTCTGATAAGACTTTTAAAATCATATTTTGCCATTTCATGCATTATTTCAGTAAGAGAAATTAAATTACATTTGTTTTTAAGCAAAGGAGACTGACAGCAATGTGTTGTTGGCAACATTGTTTGGTTTTGTTGCAATGTGTGCCTCCAGCACAATAGAGCACTCAGGTATGCTGAGTAGCCATGGTGATTTTTTCACTGGATGCCACAGTTCCTTGTCATTTCACTGAGTCTCAGAAAAGACTGGTACTGAAATGAGCACTTTTTGACAGTTGTCATTTCTATAAGAAGTGTCAAAGGGGAGATATTTGATTCAAATTAATTTATTTGACATGGTACAGTAAAATCTTGCATCTTACTATAATGGAGCAATGACATGGCTGTCTATCTATCTGTCACTGAATTTGACTGAAATAATAAATACAATGGTAACATTTGTTATGCTGAAATACAACAAGATCACTATGCCAGAAGTGGTTATTGAGGCTTATGAAATGTTGTGCCATCTTTTGAATGGCACCAGAAACAAAAATCCATAAAAAAAATTAACATTTGGGTATTCAAGATTCAGGAAATTAGAAGAATAACTATGGTTGTGCAACAATCATCTCTTTATAACAGCAAACAATTTTAAATAAAAGTACTGTCCTGTCCTCGGAACAAGAACATGACTTTCATTAGGACTGTACATGAGGATTTGATTATACCTTTATTGATGTAATTTTTAAATGTAGTACTAAAAAACCAGTTTTCTTAAAAAAATATTTTTTTCAATAAAGGCTAGCACTTTTAATATATCTAAAAACATTACAGTTTATATCAGTAAAATTTATGAAAACTTTTAGCTCTGTACATTGAATCATTTTGATGCAATGAATTGCATGTTACTAAAGAGTGCAATCTGAACACTTTTCCTGTGTAGTACTTTCCAGAATTAAATACTATTTTAGAAAGTGTTCACTTTTTAAATTTTTTTACAATGAGGTATAAATACTACGATTAGTAATTACTAGCACAAACAGCCCCCTGGGTGCATATGGCTGCCTGTAGGACAGGGTTTCTCCTAGTGTGTATAATACCAAGATGCAAAAAGAAGAAATATATAAACTGGCAAACAACAAATATATGCTCACAAATGTTCCTCTCTCTCTCTATGAATATTTTCCATTCATGCTCCAATCTTTGAATTATTTCTTTTAAACAGTCAGAGGAGCAAATCCATTTTTTTTCTTTTCATGAAATTATCTCGCAGAAAGAAACGGGAGATATGGAGCATGACAGACGGACACAAACATTTGGCTATTATCTACATAAAGCTACATAATGGGGTGGGTGGTGTGCTTTGTGATTAGAGTCTTAGGTTTGTTTCATATTGGCATTAATTTTGCTCACACTATCTTTGTTTTTGCAAAGCTACTAAGGCTAACTCCCACTGTCACTAATTTTGAACTGCTGAATAGAGAGAAGTCAGCTCTTTGGCAAATTAAATGTAAATTTACAGCTTTTTTACATTGTGATGTGTTTCTAATTTATAATTGCATAACTATTTTTTAATGTTTTCTAAACAGGTATGAATCTAGGAGAATCTAGGCTCAAGACTTCCCTATCCACTTTTTTTTTCTTCAAAGATTATAACTGTACTCTTTAATGTTGTGCAAGCATGCACAGACCTAGTGGAAGGGGGGTGGGGGGCAGGGCAGATTGGTCCCCCTATCCATTTTATTCAGAAATTAATAAATGTATTATTTAATGTTGTATAAGTAGGTGCATATCTGGGTTCTCCACCCCCACCCCGTTTGCTTCAGAAACTAAAAAAAACAACAGCCATATGTCTTTTACACTAACATATAGTATCAGAAGTAAACATTAGATACTCGTATTTTTAGTTGCTTGGACTATTAATTGCCATGAAAGCTTTTTACAGGTTTTCCTGAAATCATCTAAGCTAGAGTCTACAGCAATCCAGTCGAGGCCTAAACCAATAAATGATTATTTCTAAGCTAATACAACAATGGGAATGCCACTTAAACTTTGCCATGGTAAATTCATATACCTCAGCTTTTTTCTCATGCTAACAGTATGTCTTAACTTTGGAGATTTGTTTTAATCAAGTTTAGTACTGTTTAGGATGCCTGATGCTCTTAAAACAAATACTTGTTACATAATAAGTTATAATTCTTGTGATAAAGATGCTTTTTGTATTGTTGATGTCTAAAATAAGTGAAAATGCAAGTGGTATTGTGTGATAGTTTAAGTAATGACTTTTAAAATAAGTTATTTGAAAATAGGCATCTTATTTACCAATGCTATAATTGTCTTTTTTACATATAATTATAAGTAATTATAACTATTCAATTTTAAATTAAAAAATTTAGTTTTTGTTTTAGCTATTTTTATTTTCCTATTAATTAGAAGTATAAGCTTTGAAATCATTTAATTATAACCTGACTGAGCTAATCATTTACAGAATATATTAACATTATTTTAACTTTGATATACTTGGGTTATTTTAGGACCATATGGTCCATACTGATTAATCCAAAATACAAAAATATCATAATGGAAATCTCCTTTTTCATGTAAAAAAAATACTGAAAATTTGATTACAATGTTACACAGCTAACTTTTATATCCAGGGTCACATTGTCATTTGTAAAAATGAAATATTACTGCAGCTATTGTGGAGAAGTTAAACATTGTTGTTACTTATTTTATTACAAGTTGCAGCTTTTACAGTAAGAAAGAATAATTTTAAAACAGGTATGACATTTTGATCACTGGTGCGATTATTTTAAAGTGCACAAGTTTTAACAGTAAAGAAGGCGATAAATACAGCTATCTAACAATGCATTTTAGAATTAATAGTGGTTACTTATGCATATCAATTTGTGTGAATTGACAGTTTTTTTTTTTTTTGGTTGAACAGAAAAAACAAAAAATTAATAAATAGGAAAATGTAGAAATCTTGTGTGAAATATTTGCATAAGATTGGGTATGTCTGTGGAAATAATGATCAAAGAGAAAAAGAGATGTGCCTGGGTATTTGTTAATTGTGAGATTGTTTGATTTTATTGATAAGGCTTCTCTGATTTTTCATCTGTTAATGTCAGATTCATGTTTTAGTTTAATCACATCCTGTTTTTGTTCATATATTCATGGTTTTGAGAAGGGGTTTTTGGTGTCCTTTTAACCTGATGTTCAAGTTACATTCCATTGCACTTATGTAAAAGGCTGGGCAATTGTTACACTTTATTTTGTAAATGTTATTTGGTGGGGTGGGTTTGTTATGTAATTTTCTTAGTGTGTTTAATTTCCATTCCATGTGTGAAAATGAATCTAGTCATATGCTAAGGTTATATTTATGTGTTGGTATTTTCCAAATTTCTAATAGAGGTATGCTAATGTGCCAACAGTATGTTTGAACTGACTAGGTTTCCTTTGTTTTGTGGAGTGTTTTTTTAGTTTGTTTGTTTATTAAATGTGTCTTGTCTGTGTTTTTTTTAATTCATTAATAGTTTGTGTAGCTATTGTAGTAGGGAATTATTTTATGTTGTAAAGCATTGAGTTAAGTGTGAAACTTCTTCATGTTTTCTTTGATGCATATAGTGTATACTAAATTCAGGAGACTCCGAACAACTTTGTGATTCTACCTTCAATAAAAATGTTCAACAATTACATCTATCCAGGTCACTGAACTATGACATCCCAAAGTACAGTAATGATCTTTCTACTGTACACAGGTTCACAGTCACAAACCTTGAAGAGGAAACTAAACTCCATAATTAACCCTATAAAACATGGTGCCATTTCAAAATTCCATTCTGCATTGGTACTGTCTTGCATTCAAAACTTAATTAAAGCACTATACTATCAATTTATGTTAATGATATTATTGTTATCAAGTATGTTATAATTCAAAGTTTTATGTTATCTAAGTTTGTTCCTTAATTTCAAAAAGAAACATCTAAAATGATAATTAAAAATGCAGTTGTTGTTTATCATGTATTCACTCGTGGTTACAATTTCTCAACTGGTAGAGAAGAAACTGTGTGTTTGGAATGCAGAAACGTCCTGCAGATGGCCAAAGTACATAATACAGATGTTTTATGTTACTCTCTGAAGCTCTTTAGAAGAATTTCTCCCCCCAATAACTCATTGTAAATATTTCTATAGTTTAAAATCAGCCATGCCCACTTGCAAAATCAAAGCTGTGTTGCTATGAGACAGTTTGAAGTTGAATGGTATGCTTATAACCAATAGAAAGAGCAGATTTTATTCTTGAACACTGTTACTGTAATGGTAAACATATGTGTATGCTTTTGTTTTCAACCAGGATGGAGTGAAGCTAAGTCCATTGTCCTCTCAAGGTGTATGTAGCATTTGGCAAGTGTTTCTCACCTTATATGTATTAGTTTGATAGACAGTTAGACTGCATTTATGTTTTACTTGTATATTTTAATTAATTATGTATTATTTTGTGTTTTAAAATGCATATTTGAAAGGTTTAATGATCTTTATACATTTAATTTGTTGCATGGATTCTGAAAATGAATAAACAAGATGGCGTGTGCAGCGTTAATTACTTGATACAATGACATAA